GAGCCAATCCACACAAATAGATTCCCATCACCATGGACGGTGTGGGCGACGTCGACGACGAGTGGGTCTGGCCCCACGAGTCTCATGGAAGCCCCGGCAGATGGAGGGCTTCCTGCGCTGCCAGGTCTGCGGCGACTACATGAGCGGGCCCGTCCTCCTCCGCAACTGCCGCCATTGCTTCTGCTCCGAGTGCATCCGCAAGCACCTCCTCGCGCGGGGCACCGGTGGCAACTGCCCCGAGTGCAAGCAAGATTGCTCGCCTGGCGACCTGGTGCCGAACCGACCACTGGAGCAGATCATCAACCTCTTCCGCGCGCTCAAACCCAAAGTGCTGCGCCTCGCAGACGGAGCGCCACTAAGCGAGATGGCCAACGCGCCGACGACGCCGACCAAGACGACGCAGGCAAAGCCCGGCAATAGCGCAACCAAGCGCGTTCCCGTTGTCTCGTACAACATCATGAAGGACGCTGAAATCCGAAAGCACCTCGAAGCCGCGGGCCTCGGCAGCATCCGCGGGACCCGGGACGTGCTCGTTGCCACACACAAGGAGGTACCTATCTCAACGCTTTCGGAGGCTAAGAGACTACTAGTATACGATGCTCTGCAATGCGCAGCTCGATACGCTGCATCCCAAGACGCCAGACGAGATCCGCAGCCAAATCCTCGCTACATACAAGCTACGCAACAGCGAAAAGTCTCAAATGGCCTCGACCAAGCGGTCGCTTGGCCTCCGACACGACGATCCGATTGAGAAGGCGATCAGCTCGTCGCCGGCACTCAACGACAACTTTCGCAAGCTCGCCGAACAGATCAAGGCGCAGAAAGCGGCCAAGAAGGGCCAGCTACCGACGGCAGCGAGCGGCCAAGAAGCGCCTGCCAAGAGCATCCCGACACTGCCGTCTCCACTTCCTGCTGCGTTGCTGTCACCGACACCGGGAGTGACGTCGCACACGTCGGCGTCGCCGGTCCAGAACGCGTTTTACGCAGACACGGAGGAGAAGCCCGCGCATCCGGTGCTCCAGGCCGACGGCGCACCGCGGTACCTAGCTCGGGACCCGGTCAAAACCCTCTTTCACGCGCCCAACACGACCGGCACGTGGCGCCAAGTGTTTCTCGACAGCACGCAGCAGCACGTCTATGTCCACACGGTAACACAGGAAATCCGCACGGACCCGCCACCGAGCGTCGCGCCGGCCAAGAGCTCGATGCATGCCGCCGCCGTTCCCAAGAGCATGACGCCGATCGTGGCCATGAAGCGACCGGTCGAGGTTGCTGCTAGCACCGTGCAGTGGGCATGCCCGCGCTGCACGCTGGTCAACGAGATGCATCTCGACGAGTGCTTGGCTTGCGGCGGCCCCAACTCCAAGAAGCGGCCCAAGCGCGTCGTCCAAAAGAAACTGGGCTAAGTTAACCAAAATGCACAACATTATTGTCAGCTTTAGGAAGAGTGAAGACGTACGGATACCGTAAAATATCCGGAAGATTATTCGACCGACGCGATCTTTTCAACAGTTTTGACCATGAGCCTCCTGGCTGGCGGGCAGCCATCGGGCTACAGCACGTTTGCGCCGTCGCCGCCAAGCGCGGGTCCTCGGCCCAGAGCGTCGTGGCTCTCGCGCCTCTTCCTCGCGTGGTGCGCGCCGCTCTTGTCGCTCGGGAACGAGAAGCAACTCGATCTCGACGATACGTGGGTCCTCGACGAGGAAGACAGTTGCAGCGCCGCCGTGGCGCAGCTCGAGCATCACTGGGCGCGCTCCGGGTCGCTTGTGGCTGCCTTTGTGCGTTGCTACGGCGGCGTATACGGCTGCGTCGGCCTCGTGCTCGCGGTCGCCTACGGCTGTGACCTCGCTGGGCCCTTGATCCTCAACAAGGTCGTCACACTCGTGTCGACGCCAGAGAGCGACGCGACGCTGATTTGGAAATGGCTCGGCGTGCTCTTTGGCTCGCGCGTGCTCAAGGCCGTCCTCTTCGCGCACGTGTATGCGACGACGCAGGTCATCGCAATGCGCTTCACATCGGCGCTCAAGAGCGTTCTCTTCCAGAAGGCGCTGCGCCTCAGCACCGAGTCGCGGGCGACGCGCAGCACGGGCGACCTCGTCAACTTGTATACGACCGACGTCTCGAACCTCCTCCTCGCGGCCTACTACGTCCACGAGCTGTGGATCTTACCGATTGAGATTGGCGCCGCGCTCTACTGTCTCCACGACATTCTTGGCGCCGCGACGTGGGCCGGCGTCAGCGTCATTCTGCTCGTGCTCTGCCTCAACCAAGTGCTCGCCAAGGTCATGGCGACCGCGTTCGAGGGCATCATGCGTCTCAAGGACGAGCGCATGGCGAGCGTCCACGAAGCGTTTGGCGCTATTCAAACCGTCAAGCTCCACGCCTGGGAAGACAAGGTCGCGGCCAAGATTCACGACATCCGCGAACGTGAGCTCGCTTTTATTTGGCGCTACCTGCTCGTCGGCGCGTTCAACATTTTCACGCTCTGGGGTGCGCCAATGGCGGTGTCGACGGCCACGTTTGCCGTGTACGCTCTCTACTTGCAGCAGACGCTGTCAGCTGCCAGCGTCTTTACAGCACTCGCGCTCTTCCGTCTCATGCAAGAACCGCTGCGGTCCTTCCCCAAGATCGTTACCGGCATGATCCAAGCGCATGTTTCGCTGCAGCGGCTCATGACGTACTATGCACTCCCTGAACGGCTGCCCGAGGCGATGGCGACGACGCCGGTATCCCCGGACGTCGCGATCGCTGTCTGTGATGCTACGCTTGCGTGGATTCGAGCCGGCGACGCACTCTTTCATAGCCTCTCGCTCGAGATCAAAGAAGGCGACTTGGTCGTCTTGCACGGAAGAGTCGGCAGCGGCAAGTCGTCGCTGCTCGCGGCGCTTCTCGGCGACATGGAGCGTCGCGCGGGCTCGGTGTTTCTTGGCGGCTCGGTCGCCTACTGCTCGCAGACGCCGTGGATCCAGCACATGTCGATCCGCGACAACATTTGCTTTGGCTCCCATTATGAAAAGAAGAAATACCTCAAGGTCCTCGAGGCGTGCGGGCTCATTGCGGACCTCCAGGCGCTGCCTGGTGGCGACAAGACCGAGATTGGCGCCAAGGGACTCAACCTGAGCGGCGGTCAGAAGGCAAGGATCGCCCTCGCACGCGCGTGCTATAGCGACGCCGACATCTTTCTCCTCGACGCACCGTTCGCCGCCGTCGATGCGATCGTCGCCGCCGAAATCTTTCAAAAATGCATCCTCGGTCTACTGCGCCACAAGACGCGGCTGCTCGTGACGTACAACACGGAGATCATTGCGTCCAACATCGTGGACAGCGTGCTCAAGCTCTGCGACGGCCAGCTTGTCCAGACGCGCACGATCGACAAGGCGCCGCTCGGTCCGCCGCCCGTCTCGCCGCTACTTGGCGTTCGCGTCGGCTACCGTCGCACGGCGTCCGAGAAGCTCCGAGCGACCCCATCTATATCGCCATCTCCTGCCTTTGCGTCCGTCCAGCAGCTTGTCGAAGACGGGTTCGCGCCGCTCGTTGCCCGCGCGTCTTCCTTTGCTCGGGAGAGTGGCCAGCTCGTGCGCGACGAAGAGCGCCACAACGGTCGCGTCTCTCGCCACGTCTTTCTGAGCTACTTTCGGGCCATGGGCGGGGTCGACACGTTTCAATCGATCAATCGTGACGAGCTCACACTCTGTTCTTAGGTGAGTGTCTGCGTCTTCCTTGTCGTGGTGCAGTGCGTGTGGCAAGGCCTCATGCAAGGAAGCGACTTCTTTCTCGCGTCCTGGACGGCCCAAGACGACGCAGCCCAAGAAGAAAATGCCACGAGCAATGTCGTCTTGTATGCGTGCCTCGCCCTCGGCAGCAGCGCACTCGTGCTCGTCCGCACGCTCACGGTACCGCGCTCGTATCTCTGGATAGACGCAGACATAGTATCGGACGCGTAGGTCTCGATCGGGGGCTTGCACGCGGCGAGGCACCTCTGCGCCGGCATGACGACCTCCCTCTTGCGTGCGCCAATGAGCTTTTTCGACGCGACGCCCGTGGGCCGCATTCTCAATCGGTTTAGCGACGACGTCTCCCGCGTCGACTTTCAGCTGCCGTTTGCGTTTGGATCGCTCCTCGCGACGGGCTTCTCGGTGCTGTGCACGCTCATCACTGCGAGCATCGTTGCCAAGTACGTTGGGCTTGCGATTCTTCCTCTCTTGCTCCTCTACGTGCGTCTCGGACTCTACTACCTCCAGCCGGCGCGGGAGCTGCAGCGGCTCCAAAAGGTAACGCAGTCGCCCGTCCTCGCGCACCTCGCCGAGGCCAACGACGGGTGCGCCGTCATTCGGGCCTTCCACGTGGCCGACCGATTCACGCACGAAAACGCGGCCAACATCGACGCCAACAACCGCGTTGTATACGCGAGCATCATCACCAACCAGTGGTTTGCTCTGCGCATGCAGCTCCTCGGCGCCCTCGTCGTCGTCCTCTTAACAACCGGCTTGACGCTGCTCAAGGACACTTTGAGCCCCGGAGTGATTGGTCTCGCCTTCAACTACAGCCTCGCCGTTGACGCCGGCCTCGAGGGCCTTCTCCAGGTGTGGTCATGGCTCGAGACCTCGATGGTCAGCCCGGAACGCCTCCAAGAGTATATGGACGTGTTGCCAGAGACGACGAGCGACGCAGCCCTCGTCGTGCCCGAGCCGTCCTGGCCTCGGTTCGGCGAAGTTGCTTTTGAAAATGTCTCGCTGCGCTACACGCCAAGCAGCGCCAACGTGCTCTGCGACGTGAGCTTTCGGATCAAGGCGGGCGAGAAGATCGGCGTCGTCGGGCGCACGGGCGCCGGCAAGTCGAGCGTCGCCTCGGCGCTCTTCCGCCTCTACCCTCTCGCGTCCGGCAGGATCCTCCTCGACGGCGTCGACACCTCGACCGTGGACATGCGTCTTCTTCGAAGTCGGCTCTCGATCATTACGCAGTCGCCCATCCTCTTCAAGGGCACGCTGCGCGGGTACCTCGATCCGTTTGGCGACTGCTCGGACGACGACCTCTGGCGTGCGCTCGAAAAGGTCGAGCTCCGGCCGCTCGTCGCCGCGTTGGACGCGACGCTGGACGCAGCGCTGGAAGAGAACGGCGAGAACCTCAGCGTCGGCGAGCGTCAAATGCTCTGCATGGCCCGCGCCCTCCTCTCGGACGCGCAGGTCGTCGTCATGGACGAGGCCACGGCCGCCGTGGACGCCGAGACGGACGCCAAGCTCCAGCGCGTGCTCCGGTCCGAGTTCAAAGAGGCGACGGTGCTCACGATCGCGCATCGCCTCGACACGGTCTTGGACGCCAACCGCATCATGGTGCTGGACGCCGGTCGCGTCGTGCAGTTTGGGTCGCCCATGAGCCTCATCGCGCGCGGCGAGGGCCACTTCTACCATCTCGTCAAAGAGGGCGGCTACATCGACCGCGTCGGCTCGTAGATACACAGAAATCGATGCCATTACATGTCGTAGCTCTCTTGGATAAAGGTGTCGGGCGCGGATTCCGTCCCATGTGGCGGCGCGTTGAACACATCGTCGTCATCGTCTTCGTCGTCGGACGCAGCTTGGCGACGGAGACGTCGCCGTTTGGCATCGGCACGCGGCGTTGTTGCTGGTGATGTCGACACGACATGGTCGGTGTCCTCGCGGGATCGCTTGGCCGTGGCGTCGGGGCTGCTGGGCGCATTTTCAGAGGCGGGCGCCGAGAGATGGGGCTCGTCGTCATCTCGTCATCACGGGATCGCTGGCGTGGGGCCGTGTCGTCCTGACTACCAACATTGGTCGGCGCCGAGAGAAATGCATCATCATCGTCGTCGTCTTCCGAGCCGTTGAGGTCCTTGTAAAAGGCTTCGGCGGTCTTCCGGACGCTACGCGTGGGCTTGGGCGACCGCGGGGCCACATTGTCGTCGGTTGCTGACATGGCATCGTCATCGTCGTCGCCGCCGTCATCGTCGTCGTCATCGTCGTCATCGTGGGTCTTCTTGTGAAGCTTGAGGTGCTTGACGCGGCGCTCGATTTGGTCGGGCGTCCGATCGCGGTCCTGAAACATGTCTTCGTACGAGATGACTTCGAACACGGACGGCAAATGCTTGAACTTGAAGTACATCTTGGTCAAGTACTTGTCTTCAATGACGCTCCACGTCTTGGTCTTGGCGCGCGGCTTGCGCGCCGGCTTTGCTTTGGTCGTTGTCGTCGCTGGGTCCTTAGCGACTAGAATCGACGGCGCCGCGGCCATAAAGTCAAACTCGGCCTCGCCTTCGATCTCGAGCTCGCGCGGCCGAACAACGCGAACGTCGTCGTCGTCGTCGTCGTCCGAGCTCAGGTCGCGCCGGCCTTTGGGCGCCACGAGACTTTCGGGCAAAAGCGACTTGTACCGGCGCTGGATCATGACGCACGTGCGGGGTGCGAATGGGTGTCGAATGAGACTCTCGACGTACAAGAGGTGGTTGGTCTCAGCAAGTGCAAAGAAATGGCGCACTGTGGTGCTATCCAAGATAAGATGCTTAGCGCTGTCCCTGGAACTACAGAGTTTCGTACCGGAGAAAGTCCAAGATGTGTCGAAACTCTTTCTTGTTCTGGATGGACGGGTCTTGCAACATCGTGTTGAACGTCATGAGGCACTGGATGTTGAAGAGCATTGGCTCCATCGTGGGATCTTCGCCCATGAGCGCCTATGACACACGATGCGATTGATGGTCTAGGGTGCAAACAAGTACCTGGAAGCCTTGGACACGGTAGAAGAACGAAAACACGTAGTGGTTGACCTTGGCACTGTTGGTCTTGTAGTGGCGGAGCAGGTAGCAGTACATTTTGATACTTTCGTGCGAGATCATCGAGCCAAAGTACTTGCGCGTGTCAAACTCTTCTTCCTTTCGCCGCATCTCGAGCTGCATTTGGCGGTCGCCGTCTTCTTCGTCTTCTTCGTCGTCGTCCTCGTCGTCGTCTTCGGCATCGTTGTCGCCCGCCGCGCGGTCGTTGGCGTCTCCGGACTTGGTCTTTTTCTTGGTTTGCTTCTTTTTCTTCTTTCTACGGTGCCCGCGTCAATACGACGGCAACGAAGCACGAAAGCTCGCGCACCCTGGTGCATTGCGGCGCTTCTGGAGCACCTTGAGATGCTTGCCTTCCGTGTCGATCATCTTGAGCACAAGCTACGCCGTGGCAGTGAGCACCAAACGATTTGTGGCAAGGTCAAGCGCGTACATGCGTCAGCGTCGCGACTTCCACGACGTACTCGAGCGTAAAGGCCGACGGAGACCACGACTTGATGAGCACGGGGAGCCGATCGAGAAACTCGCGCTCGTAAAACAGCTTGTGCTGGAGCGACTGACCGATGCGTTGCAGCCGTGTGTCGGCACTCGTCACGAGTTCCGTCTACGCAATTATACCGACATGTGTTGAAATGGTATCCGTAAATACAAGCTTACGAGCATGGCGATCATCTCCGTGACGACCTTGACCGCCCCGATCATGGCATGGTAATTCTTCGCCTCGGCATAACTCTACTCGGTCGTGTGTTGTGGCGGTATTTTGATGATAGACAGCGCGTACCTCGATCGACTGGAGCACAAAGTTGAACGAAAACATGTCAAGCGTCGACAGAATGGCCTTTTGGTCGTACGTCGCGAGGAGGTTCGTCGGGTTGAGCAGCGCCATCATGGCGTCCATGCCTTGCTCGCGGAAGACGCGCTCCTTGTCCTTTTCAAAAATCTCCGCTTGCTGCTTCTGGAGCGACTTGAGGTGCGGCAACTTGAGGCGGTGGTACGCGGTGAGAAACCACACCAAGTGAAAGTACAAGAGTCGGTCGTTGGGCAAGAGCTTCCCGCTGCCGCGGCGAAACTCGTTCTTGAGCGACGACGTGAGCTGCGGGTAGCACTTGCTCAAAAGCTCGTCGCAGATCGTCCGCAGCGCTTCGCTAAGGCGCCTATGGAACGCATGGGTGCTTGCTTTGCTGCGAAAAGGGCACCGCCGTACATGTTTAAGTCCAAGGAGGAGCCAGTGTGGCCGCCAAAGACCTCTTGAATGTCGTTCATCGCATGTTGCTTCTGGCGCCGACCCCGCAATCCCTTCTTCTGGGCCTATACATACCTGATTGTGAGCACGCGAGAGGTGGAGGTAGCGAAGAATATGCCTGTGGAATGACATCGTCGCCCGATTTGCTGAAGTCCGTCAAAATGGTGCGACAGCCGGTCTTGCCCTGGAGCACGAGCATGCCACCAAAGTTGGAGTGACGCTGGTTCTTGGCGCCGCGATGCTGACTCTCGGTCTTGAGCTGCCCCAGCAGCGAGACTTGATGCTGCATTGGCGGCGGCGCGACCGGCTGAGGGGCCTCGTCGACCGGTGGTGTGGACGGCGGCAGTTGGATCGTAGCGACAAGCTGCTTGGGGGTCGTCGTTTGCAAGACTAGGTCGAACATCTCCATGAGGAGCAGGTTCCACTCACGGTTCTCGGCCGACTCGATGTCCTACAACACACTATGAGAATCGACATTCGAACCGACGAAGCCGCGTACCTGGGCAAAGAGAAGAAGCATGTCAAAGACGTTTTCTTCGTACAGCACGACGATCAGGTCTTCCTGGAGACGAGCCATGTGGTTGGTCGCTGCCGTCACATGGCGCAAGCTCTCGTTTGGAATCGCAAGCAAGTTGCGAAAGAGCGTCAAGACGAGCTCCATGTTGAGGTAATCCTATCCACACAGCATGAACATGGTTCGCGAGATGAGGACGCCAGCACCTGTGACGTGCGGGCAGACCCTTCCCGCGAGAGCGGTTCGACGAGAATGGACATGAGAAGTTGCACGACGCCGTGCGTCAAGAACGCGCGCTTGTAGCCGCGGAGGTACTTGAGCTGCAGCGCAATGTTGTCCGACTCGTTGGCGGGCTTCATCGTGAGCATGACGAGCACCTTGAGGATCGAGAACACGAGCGACCTACATGGAGCGGCTCCGAGCCTGCATCTTCATGTTAAAGGGACGCACCAGTCGTTCTGGTGGTTGATCAAGAGCGGGATGAGCTTCTTCTGGAGAATCTGCCACCGGCCAAGCGTCTTGGAGACGAGTCGATGAATTGCATGGTCGCGCCGGATCGCGCGTTGGAGATCGTGGATCCACTCTTCGCAGTCTTCGCCCCGCGTGAAGTTGGAGTCGCCGTCGTCCGTCTCGGTGAGCACGCCAAGGTTCGAGCACACGAGGAGGAGCTCGTTGAGCATGGCAGGGTCCAGCGTCCGTTTCACGACGGCCTCGTTGCCGTCCTCGTCGACGAGCGCTTCTTCTTCGTTCTCCGAGACGTCAAGGGCCTCGAGGCTGCGCGCGCGCTCGCAGTGGGCCTCGTCGAAGGCCCCGTCGTCCTCGTCGTCTTCGAGCTCCAGGAGCGCGTCGTCCTTCCGCCCCAGCGATGCCATCTCGCCTTGGAAAAGCGAGCGAATATGGGCTCGCGCCAAAGCCCATGTTGATTTTCAACCAATCATAAACGACCATGAGGGTTTTTTATCCAATCCAACGTCACGCACGCAACGACGATCAAAAGGCTTTTAAAGGTTTACAAAGGCATACAAAACCCGGTATTTTTGAATTGCCCGGCTGGGCGATTCCCGTTTTCGCGGGAAACCTGGGGCCACAACAAAGTTGCACCTGTATATGGCAGAAGATGGCATCCGACGTCGAACGTCAACGTGCTCGAGCCCTACCCGTACACTTGCGTACGCACCATGGGCCCCTTTTCGGCGGTGTCATCTTCAAGCTCGCAAGTGCAATCTCGTTGCTTCGTCCATGGGCGGAGGCTGCTGCGACCAGGGATAGTACCCTGGCTGCGACACGACGGGTTGGACGACCACGCAGCCTCCATGCATAGCTCGTTCTTCAACGTCAGTCAACGCCTGCGCATTCGTTGTTCGAAAAAGGGTTGAAATATCGAAGTTTCGAGCGGCTTGGTCGATTCGGCTTCATTTTCGCAGTTGCCTTCAAGGCCGCAGACGCATGCAAATCCTGCGCGTGCTCGGTCTCTTGCTGACCGCGGTGGCGGCGATGGACCCAATCGTCATCAAGGGCCAGCGCATGTTCAAGTACTCGACGGGCAAAGCGTTCCAGGTCAAGGGCGTCGACTACTACCCGCGGCCCAACGCGGGGATCCTCGACATCAACAACTACGACTTCTTCACGGACGAGAACGAGCCGATTTGGGCGCCGCACATCAAAGAGTTTGCCGAGCTCGGCGCGAACGCGATCCGCCTGTACGCCGTCGACCCGTCTCAGAGCCACGACAAGTTCATGTGCGCGCTCCAAGCCATCGGCGTCTACGTGCTCGTGGACCTCGCGGCGAGGTCTCAAGTCTCCACCCGATATCTATCAACGTATCAACGTATCGACTGTATAGCTGCGAGGGCTGCGCGATCACCAAGGACGAGTACCCGACGTGCTACCCTGGTTCGCTCAAGACACGCGGCCAGCAAATCATCGTCGCGTTCTCAAAGTACAACAACGTCATTGTACGTACTCTCGCAGCAGCTGGTGCTTGCGAGCTCACTATCGAGGCTTGGACCGTAGGGCTTCAGCGCCGGTAACGAGGTCAACCATATCGTGGCCCGCGCCAAGACGAACGCGCCGTGCCAGAAGAAGTTCATCCGGGACATGCGCGCCTTTATCCGCTCGTGCAACAACGAGATGCGCCCGATTCCCGTCGGCGTCGTCACCGCCGACTCGGAGCGCAGCGCAAACGCGATCTACTACAACTGCCGCACGGACGCCGCAGACACGCTTGAGAACGCAGAGTGTAAGCAAATCCGCCGCATGCGCCATATGAACGCAAATGCGTAGGGTATGGCCTCAACACGTACGTGCAGTGCGACCCGGCCGCGACCAGCAGCGTCGTGGGGCCCGGCTACAAACAGCTTCTGGACGACTTTACGTCGTACAAGATGTCGGTGCCCGTCATGCTCACCGAGATTGGCTGCCTCAACGTTGGCTTCCCGACGATCGACGGCTACGCGGCGCAGCGCACGTGGGTGGACGCGGCGTGGATGCTCTCGCCGAGCTTCAGCAGTGTCTTCACCGGCGGCTTTGTGTTTGAATTTTCGACCGAGAACGCCAACTCGAAAGCGGACGCGCCGTACCCGTTCACGTCGTTTGGTGGCCAAAACTACGGGCTCGGGTACTTCTCGCCCGAGACGTGCGACCATCGCGAGACGCCGTGCACCTTCAACCGCATGCCCAACTATGGCCTTCTCGCGTCGCAGTTCAATGCGTCGAACGAAGCGGCGTCGATGCCGCAGTCGCCCGAGTACGCGGGCTACCGCACGACGCCGCCAGCGTGTCCGTCCGACTTTGCGACCCTCGCGAGCGCCACGTGGGCCTCGGACGCAGTCACCGACATGCTCTGCCCGGACCTGACGCAAACGCCGCTCTGCCCGGGCGACACGATGATCAACGGCAACGGCGACGTGATCGCACCGAAATCGGGCACGTCGCCTGTCCCTGCGGGCGGGACCACGCCGTCGGGCGGCAAAACGCCGTCGTCGGCGACACCGAGCCCGCCGGGCGTCACGACGTCGACACCAGGAGGCCGAGCGACACAAGGAAACAGTGCCACCGCTCTCTCGATGGCGATGCCAGTCGCGCTGGCCCTCGCCTCCCTTTTCGCGTAATGCATGCAATCCAACACATTTTTTTCTGCATCCTTGCATGGCTCCGAGTACCACAGAGCCGTACGACCCGTTCGGAACATGCGATGAAGATCAGCGTGCAGCAGGAGTACCAACCGACGTTCAGCCGTGAGCGCAAAATAAATGGTGCAGCGGCTTTACCACGTGCCTCTCCACCTGATTATTGTCACTGGCTGACCTCGGGCGGTGCTGGCACGAATGAACATGTTTTTGATAGATTGACAGTGTTTTCATGCGCACGTGAAAGCGATGGTACACGACGAGGAGCGCGGCGATGCTGAGGCCGCCGCCAAGCAAGATCGGGAGACCGTACTGCAAGCGCGTGCGCAGCAGGACGGACGAGAGCGCAAAGTTGAGCAGCTGTCCGAGACAGTTGGCGGAATTGAAGGCGCCGGCATACAAGCCCAGTCCGTCCTGCTCGCCGTACCCAATCACGTGCATGATGACGGGGATTTGCAGCGCAAAGATCGCGCCTTGTGGGATCGCGCAGAGCACGACGATCGTCACGTTGAGCGCGACGACCTTGGAAAAGGCGAGGACCACGAGGAGCGTTTGCGGCACAATCGACGCGAGCAGCAGCCGCCGGACGCCAAACCAGCGGACGAGGTACGGCAGGCAGAAAAAAACACGAGCGACGCCGCGTTAAAAAGCGTGTCGGTCGACCCACCAGCAATGGTGACGCCGTCCCTGTACTGGATTTGCGCGGCGGTGCAGTTGGAGCCGCAGCTGTCGGCGCCGCGCGCGTCGCCGTCGTAGACTTGCAAGCCAAAGTACTGGCCTTTCGCGCCATTGTAGGCAATGTACCCGTACGAGAGCAAGAGGAGCACGGACGAGTAGACAGCGAGCGGCTCGGGCAGCGTCCGCACGCCCGTGTACACACCGAGGGATGCGTGGTGGAGCCGACGGAGAAGCGATGTGGTCGACGTTGTCGCCACCGGTGTCTCCTTGGCGAAGAGAAGGACGGGGATGCACGTGATGAGAAGGACGCCTATGAGCATGCTGAAGAAGCCAGAGAGCGACTCTTGCGCTCCGCTGAAGAGCCAGATGTACCCCGACACGCAGAGACTCCCGAGCGTCGAGTAGACGGACCCGATGGCGGCCGCCGTGACCTGGCGCCCGCCGGCAAAGTCCGCAATGATCAAGTTGGCGCTGGTCTGCAGCACATTGACGCTCACGTCCATCCAGAGGTAGCAAAGAAGCAGGATCGCAGCCGTGACGACTTGGTTCGAGTCGCTGTCGCCACACGCTGCCCCGATCGCGTAGCTGTTGGACATGATGCACCAGCACAAGAGCGTCGCGATAAGCGATCCGAGGATAAACGGACGGCGCCGACCATACGCACTGCTGCACTGATCACTGAGAACACCGGCGGCGGGCGAAACGAGCAGCCCCGTGATAGGACCAATCACTTGGATGAGCTGCACCTTCCACGGCGCCACAAAGATCGTTTGCAGCTGTGGCCCAAACGCCGCCCACTGCGCGGACCAGGCCATGTTGACTGCCATCTTGGGCGCGCAGAGCATTAGCATGAACGCCAGCGAACATCCCGGCGGCGGCACCTGAGGCTCGTCGCGCCGGCGTGCGCTGCGCTTGCACGGCGAGAGGCCCGAGTCCGAGTTCAGGAAAGGCTGTTTGGAGCACTGCGACGACTCGGAGTATAAAAAGAGAGCGTCCATATCAATGGACCGCGTCGAAATTTCAATGAGTTCAATGCCGCGGACGACGGAGCTGGCGGCATGGGTCGCCTCCGAGCACTCAATGTCCAAGGTCAAGCAGGCGCAGACATCCTTCCACGGCGAACCGCAGCGGCGACACGTTAGCTCTTGCGTCCCAGCGTTCACATAGGTGTACTCCATCGATGCACCGGGATAGAAAGCGAGCTCGAATGGTGCAACCTCCAATTCAAGCGCGATTGAAGACGCTTGTTCCTTCCATAATCGTTGCTCGAAACGTCGCGCTAAAAAGGGTGCGAAATGCAATGTGGCAGATGCCTCTTTCAAGGGAACTCACTGACCTGTCAATAGAGCACACCGTGGCGTTCTCTACGAGCCCAAACTAGTGTATGCGCCCACTTATCGTGCGCAGCGTGCCTGTATCGCTCTTGCAACTCGCTGCGCCGACAGGGACCCTCCACAAGAAGAGATGCCGATTTTACTGGAAACATGCCACATTTAATCGATCACGTGGCGCATCAGATCCAGAAAGTGATGGCAGACGCGGGCGCGGACGAGGTGCCACGCAGCATGGGTCGTCGACCAAAGCTCTTGGCCATGCTCCTGGGCTTCTGGACGGTCGTGCTATTTGCAACCGATGATGTGATGCTGACCGAGACTGGGTAGGTGGCCGCTGTCTGCCGCATGTGGTACATGGTGGGCTTCTTCGACGTCGACGCCGAGCTCGTGCCGCCGAAGGAGTATGCGATGACCGAGGAATCGATGGCGTTCATTGTGTACAGCTCCATGTGGGAGGAGTCGCGCTTCGCAGAGCGCATCACGGCCATTCGCGAGACGTGGGCAACGACGATCCCGCATCTCTACTGCGTGCAGACCAAGACGCCCGAGTTCCGCGTGCCTGCCGTGACCGAGGCCAGGACAAAGACATCACCAGGCTTTACGCTACTCGTGCCACCGACGAGCCTAGCGTCGACGCCAGCCATGTACGCGATCATGAAGGTCTTTACCGACGCGCCGCAGCACGAGTGGTTCTACCTCGCGGCCGACTCGTCGTACGTCATTCCATCCAACCTCGTGCATTTGGTGCAGGGCCTTGACGCGAACGAGCCGTACTTTCTTGGACACCCGCTCGTACTGCCAACGTCCGGGCCCTACTCGTGGCCCAAGCTGAACCACTTGACTTTCAACTCGATGGCCGGGCTCCTCCTCAGTCGCGGCGCCGTCAACGAGTACATGGCGGCGGTCGCCAACGGCTGCCACGCGCGCTGCGTCGCGTGTGGCGAGGACCTCAAGATCGCGTTTTGCCTCCGCGAACGAAACGTGTTGGCGCTCAACACCAAGGAGCCGGGCTCGGGCCGCGACATCCTTCACATCTTTTCGCCTGGCAGCCTCGTCAACAATCCGCGCGTCAACGGCACGTACGACTACACGCCGGCCAACTGCGACTGGTTCCAGCTCTACTCGATCTGGCCGATCCACATGTCACTCGACTGCTGCGGCACGCACTCGGCGCTCTTCCACTACACCAACGCCGCCGAGATCCGAGCCATTCACGCGTTGCTCTACGACGTCGCGCCACACGTACCCAAGGGCGAGGGTGTGACGGACGCCGACCTCCTTCGGCTCGTCCGAGTCCACGCCAAGCACGTTTTCAGCGACTTTCCGAGCTATACGCACCCGAGCTATCGCCGCGTCCGGCACCTTCTCTTGCGCCAGATTCAAATTGCGCCCGCGACCTGGGACAGTCCGGTCGTGCGGCAAGTACGCGCCATCTCGGACGACGAGCGTGCGCACGCGGGCCAGACAGGCGTCGTGACGTAGTAACGCCCGCACGTGTGCATGGTCTTGGCGCCGAGCAAGAGCCATGGCCTTTCGCGTGTCGTAATCGTGGTGCAAGTTGGAGTGGGAGGTGGCAAGGCTTAGGCGAGCGACAAATTTGTCGCCCATAACCAAGGGAATAACAGAACCCTAGCTCATAAGTCACACGATCTCGATCTCTGCCGAGTGGCGCGACTGGCGTGCGGCCATCGTCGTATTACTCGAAGCGATGCCATTGGCCGATGCCGGTACCTTCCATCTCTGCTTGTGTCCAGGCGCTGCAACGAAGGAGTTGCGCTGCCTTTTTCACCGTGTTTTTCGATTGGTCGAGGTATCCATTCGCAATAAGACCTATCAGCGCGCGAGATTTTCACGTTTCCCACATCACGTTCGATTTGCGTGTAATGCTCTGGCTCATCCTGGAGGTTGGTATGCAAGTCCTAATTAGGACATGGTGGTGTCGCGTCTAGGACGAGCCAGACCCGAATTGTTACCGAGACGACGACCGCCATGGGCAGCTGTGCGTCGTCGGAAGCGCGGATGGACAACGTGGCCGTGCCCGAGCCGTACCACGCGCCGCCGCCCATGTACCACAGCGGCAACGGCCAGCGCCACGCGGCCGAGCGCGTGAACCGCGCCCACTCGAACCCATCGCACTACAACTCGGCGCAAGCACGCACGCCGGGTGGCGGCGCCCGGACGCCGGGCCGCGGCAACTTTCCTGCTAGCAACGGCAACCGCTTCCCGGGCAACCAGATGATCATGCCACGCTCAAACAAAGAGACCAACCACTTCCGCGACGACGTCAACTGCGGCGAGTACACGGAGCTCGAGCCGTACAAGAAGCAGTATTGGCTCGACTCGACCGACATTGTGCACACGCGCATCGTGCCGGGCAACTACATGAAGACAGAGCTCGGCCACTACCTCGGACAGCCCGTGCTCATCAAGAGCCTCATCTTTTCATCGTCGCCCGAGGACTTGGCCAAGAACAAGAAGGCGCTCGTGTCCGAAGTGCGCTCGATGGCGCGCCTCCAGCACCCCAACATTGTCAAGTTTATCGGCTTTTACATCACGGAAGACCACGGGCTCTGCTGCATCTCCGAGTACATGGAGGGCAAGACGCTGCGCCACCTGCTCGAGAACAAGCGCGTCCAGCTGTCGTGGGAGAAGGAAAAGATCAGCATCGCGCTCGACATTTGCGCGGCGCTCGTCTACATGCACTCGCTCTCGCCGCGTCTCATCCACCGCAACATCCGCGCCGAGAAGGTGCTCCTCACGAACCGCCGCGAGGCCAAGCTCAGCGGCTTTGGCTGCGCGCGCGACCGCACGTATGAAAACACCATGACGGCGGGCGTCGGCGAGATCCAATGGAGCGCGCCTGAGCTGCTCCAGGACGGCGAGGACTATGACGAAAAGGTCGACGTCTACTCGTTCGGCGTCGTGCTCACCGAGCTCGATACGCGCAAGTCGCCGTACGAAGAGGAGCTGCAGCACACGCCGACCGCCGACCTCACAATGAAACTCGTGACCGGTATGCTGCGCCCGAGCATCTCGGACGACTGCCCGACATGCATCAAGATGATCATCCGCCAGTGCCTCCAGCACGACCCGGCACTGCGACCAACCAGCGACAAGGTGCTCGAAGCGCTGCGCGAAGCACGCGTCACCTTGATGCAGGGCAAATGATAATAGACACATCGCTTCGTACGCAAGGTCTCATTCCCAAAGAGGTCAACCCTCCCAGACCTAAAGGCGGGGAACCCGCCAATAAGTTAGGAGCCATCCAGGCCTTAACCGATGTCCTCGCCATGCTCCAAGTGCGATGGCTGCAGCCCTTGCTGCTGGCGGAAGCTGCTGGCGGACGGGCGATTTTGGCTCGGCAAATCCTGGTCGGTGATTGGCCCGTTTTTGTTGGGCCCACTCGAAGCATCATTCTTCGCTGCGTTTCTTCGACCTTGCAGCAACATGAGCCGAGCCATCAATGCGCTGCGCCAGCGAGGCCTCTTGGCTGGCCTCACGCACGCCGGTGCTCCGTCCATCCTGGATGCAGCCGTGGCCGCTGGCACCAAGCCCGTCGGTGTCTACTGCGGCTTTGACCCGACGGCGAGCTCTCTCCATGTCGGCAATCTGGTCACGGCCATTGCACTGCGCCACTTCCAGCTCGCGGGCCTCAAGCCCATTCTTCTCGTGGGCTTTGCTACGAGATGCAGCCGCTGGTCTCATCGGTGCATGGGCGTAGGTGGGCGGTGCCACGGGTATGATCGGGGACCCAAGCATGCGCTCGGACGAGCGTGTGATGCTCACGGCCGAGGCTGTCGATGCGAATGCGAGCCGTCTCATGAAGTCGCTCGAGAACGTCCTCGACTTCGACTCGCCCACGGTACGACCTCTCGATACATTATGCATATGAACGAGGCGGCATGCTGGTAGACGGGCGCCGTCGTCGCCAACAACATGGCGTGGCACGGCAAGATGTCGGCCGTCGACTGGATGCGCGACTGCGGCCGCTTTGCGCGCGTGAACGCGATGCTGGCGCGGGACAGCGTCAAGCGCCGCCTCGAGAGCGACCACGGCTTGAGCTTCCTCGAGTTTTCGTACCAGCTTTTCCAGGCGTACGACTTTCTGCATTTGCACCGCCACTACAACTGCTTTGTGCAAGTGGGTGGCAGCGACCAATGGGGCAACATCGTGTCGGGCACCGACATGGTGCGCAAGGCCGACGGCAAGGTCCCCTTGATCCTCATCTTTCTGTGTCCTGGTGACGACCGATGATCCGTTGTAGGAAGTGTACGGCGTGACGCTGCCACTGCTCACGACCGCGTCCGGTGAAAAGTACGGCAAGTCGGCCGGCAATGCGATCTGGCTCGACGCCGCCAAGACGTCGACGGTATCCAACGCGTTTTCCTATCGCCTTGCCGTCAACGAGCGCGCGTAGTTTGACTTTTACCAGTACTTTATCCGATCCGAAGACGCCGATGTCCCGATGCTGCTCAAGACGTTCACGTTTCTGAGCCTCGACGAGATCCAAGCCATCTTGGCCACGCACGCCGAGGCGCCGGAGAAGCGATTTGGGCAGCAAACGGTCGCCGAGCACGTGACGACGCTCATCCACGGCAAAAACGCACTCGAGCAGGCCCAGCGCGCGGCCAAGGTGCTCTTTGGTGGCTCCTGCGACGGCATCTCAGCCGCCACGATGCTCTCAATCGACGCGCCCAAGACCGCTCTCGCGCCAGCACAGGTGATTGGCCAAAAGATCGTCGACGTCGTCGGTCTCCTCGGTGCTGTCAAGACCAAGGGTACGCTCGTCTTCTACTCTTGCTTTATGCACGGAGATGTTTTCTAGCCGAGATCCGCCGGCTGATCAAGGCCGGTGGCTTGTACATCAACAACGTCCGCGTCGAGTCGGACGCCGCGGTCTTCGAGTCGCACCACGCGATCGAAGGCCAGGCCACGCTTCTCCGCACGGGCAAGCGCAACTATCACATCATCCACATCACGACCCCGTAAGCATCGCAAGCGCCATTTCAAGCGTAATGGATGATGTATAAACCAGCTACTTTGTCGTGTGACTACACGAGGCCTTTCGTGCGAAGCAAGGCGACGGCGTTGCCCATGCCCGTGCGCTGGGTAAACTCGAGCGCTACGAACAAGCACGATATGTTGGATCGATGGTCGTAGTATTGGTTGTACGGTTTTGGTGGCAAAGTGTGAAGAGGAATTCGCTCGCGCAGCGCTTGAGGTCTGTATCGAGGCTCGTCATGAAGCTCAAAAGACCCTCTTGAAGCGAAAACTTGGCGCTCCGCTGCGGCGACATGGGAAGCCCTTCCGGCGACCTATGCAGGATCATACTACCTGTACCAATCGCTCAACCCGTCGTGCGGGCGTACGGAAGGGGCGTTGCTACAAGTGCACCACCTTGCGACGTGGATGGAACGCCGTGTGCACGGACCTGTCGAGCCAAAGATGGTCACTCTGCAGGTGTCACGAAAGGCGGCGTCCTTCGTCGAGAGCAAATTGAGACCGATGAGGAGCGGCGTCACGTCTCCCGCTTTCCTACGCCGACGTCGGAGCCTGGTGCGACGTGCGACGTCGTACTTGGTCTTTTCGAGGCGGACCTTGAGAAGCTAGCGACATGGATGAAAATCACATTTTGCTCCTAGAGGCCTGTCCGACCACGTAATCCAAGAACGCCAGCAAGTCATAAGCGGCGTTGTGCGTCACGAGGTACTCGATGTACGTGGGATGCTGCAGCACCATGAGACAGTTGACGGTCTGCAGCTTGAGTTCGAGGATCGGAGCCGTGTTGGGCAGCTGAAGGAGGTCACACAACAGCGGCATGGCTCTACGCATCACGTTGCAACAAGTCAAGTGCCGCAAGACTACTCGTCGACAGCAGGCCACGGCGCATCGACACTGGCATCCTTGTGCTACAACTGGATGAGACGACGCCGCAGCAAGATACTAGTACATGTGACGTGATGACGAAGATGGCCTTGACAAGCTCGAGCACAAGTGCAATCTGGGCTGGCGAAAAGGCAAAGTGCCGGCTGCGAAGGCAGTACGCCGCCGTCTAATGTCCTTTATGTTGAGAAGGACAAGAGGCACAAGACACACGGACGGGCAGGATCGTCGCGTACACGCGCAGGGTCACAATGGCCTGTGTGATGGCGCGCGGCTGCTCGAACGTGGCAAGAATGCACTTCCAGAGCAGCGTGTGAAACTCCATCGTCTGCGACGACTAGGCCCATTCGTGCATGAGCAACAAGGTGCAATGGAGAACGAACCGCGGAAAGCGCCAGGAGCGCGTCGTACTGTGCGGTGGCCAAGAGCTGCTCGACAAAGTCGGGGCGGATGTACACGGCGTTGACCATGCAGCGAATGGCCTCGAGCTGGATCGCATTACTCGCTTCTGTTTCGTACGGCCTCGACGCATGCTGCAAGAAGACGTCAAATGCCTACAGCGCTTCGCATACCACGCCACGTCCATGCGAAAGTAAAGTACCTCGGTGGAGAGCAAGATGGCAATGTCCCGACGCTCCCGCATGAGAAGTTTGCAGGCCGTCAAGCTCGCATGGATGGCTACACTCGCTCGTCAAGGCGAGTCTGCGTCATCTCGTATTATACCTGCGAACGGCGATGCTGGGTCGCGCACCGCCTGCCACAGCATCGCACACACGTCAGCCTTGTGCGCGCGGTCGCTGTCAAAGGTCGATGCGTCTACATCACCAAATTGTATTGCTGCCGACCACGCTGCGCAAGCTTCTACCTTTGGCCGTCGAAGCGAAGGCGACGACGGCTGCGGTCCATGCGTCGGACCCCGTCGCTGCGGTCAAGATCGCGTCCATTGAGATCTGGATCGTCCGGTTGTGTCCGATTGGGTTTAAATAGGTTTTTTAGTACAGGTTTAGCGAATCTAGGACGCAATCTGAATGCCATGCGCGCGCACCTCGTCCAAGCGCGCAGGTGACATGTTGTCCTTGCAGCCGTTCAAGTGCACGCACTTGAGCTTCTTGGCGTGCTCCAGGAGCGCAACCAAGGTCTCGTCCGTGAGCTGGCTACACCACACGACCAGGAGCTCCTCGAGATGCAGACAGCCCATCACGAGCTCGGCCATGCTGTGGTCCGTGACGTGGACGCACCACGAGAGGTTCAGCCAGCGGAGGTTCGTACAGTGTTGCGCCAGCGCGAGGACGGTCTGGTCGGTGACAAAGCCACAGTTGTTGAGGTCGAGGTGGCGTAGGCGGCGGCAGTGTGTCGCAATGCGCACCATGCCCAAGTCGGTGATCTGCGTGCACCAGCGCAGACGCAGCACTTCCAAGCTACACCGACACGCCTATGAGATCCAACAGACATATACAAGTGCAGTAGTATACTCGGGACACGACTGCGCGAGCGACAAGAGAGCAACGTCCGTGATCTTGCACTGACCGAGGTCCAGTTCCTTGAGAAGGTGTGTGTTGCCAGCGTGCGACGACGCGAAGGCTTCGTCTGCAATGTCCTAGACAAGAATAAGGTCACGCTGCATATCGGCAATGTAGTACCATGAAGGAGAGGTTGAGTGTTTTCAATGTCATCGAGCCATGCAGCAGCGTGCGGATCGACTCGCTGTTGATGCGCTAGATCCAGAGGATGAGGTATGGAAGAAGCAATTGGTCGTGACAGACCTTGCAGCGGGAAAAGTTGAGCTGCGTGAGCGACCGGTACGCCTTGACGAGGTTCAGGATCAGCGCTTGCGTCACTTGCGAGCAGCCCGCAAAGCTCAGCGCCTGCGCAGCATGAGGTGTGGACGATGGTAGGAGCTGTGTACCTTGAGCGACAGGCAGGCACGCAGCGGGTAAAAGAGCGACTGCTCGGGCTGGAAAGCTGCATCCGTGATGTGGCGGCAGTTGTCCAGACGCAGCTGCTGCAGGTGGGCACAGCCCTGCATAATGTCTTGGACGACCGTGTTGTTTACTTGGAGGCAGTTGGAGAGATCGAGATACGTCTACAGACGTCGCGTCAGCGCCGCCATCTTGGTGCGTCATGATGTGTACCAGGTACGGGCACCGAAATGGGATTTGGCGCAGCACGGACTTACGAATGTTGTTGCAGCCCACGAGGCGAATCACGCGGCGCGACACGGACAAGAACGCCGAGAGGCGGTCGTCGGTCACCTTGCCTTTGTCGGCCAAGGCCGCCAAAAGCGACTGGGCGAGCTCTTCCGGCAACCGCCTACGCCATGTCTCTATGAGCATCGCGCAATGCTGCAGGATAAAGTGCGCACGGAAAGATCATGTCGACGCCACGCATGGCCGGGCCCTCGGCGTTGACGAGCGCGAGGACGCAGAGCTCGACGAGGCTCAGCGGCAGCGCGGGCGGCGCCGCATCCTTCCACGTCGCCGGCTTGAGCGAAGGCGGGTAGCTGTACTGGAGGCTCGTCAAGATGCGCGTCTGCGTCGCCATCGCACGTGGCCGTCGGTCGCTGGAATCGCACTGAGCGCTCCCACCTTCTGTCATCCACGCGAACCTGGTACGACCATCGTACGTCGTACAATGGTCTGAGCACCCGTACATTACATACATACATTGAGACGAAGCGTACAAGATGGCACAATGTACATTCGCTTCCGTTGGCGAAAGCAGCCAATCAGCGCCAGGGACAGGGCAGAGCCCAAATCTTTCGCTGCTTTTTCGAACCGGCACCTTCACTCAGCATCGCCGTCGGGGCTTCGGCTGGCGCCGACGGTTCTTGTGGCTGCGTTAACGGCGCAGGTATAACGCTCCGGAGGCCGGGACATCGAGCCCCCAAAGCCGCCCGCTTTCCTGTGGTGCGCATCGAGGTATCTTTTCAAGCTCGAGGTATCTTGTCGCTACACCACGGTGGGACACCCGTGCTCCTGATTTCCATTTTGCTACTGGATGTGGTGTGCAGAATGGAAATGATCAACCTCCATACTTTACGAGCACTAGATAACGTGCTGACGGCGCCAAGGTGCGAGGACGACGCTGGGATGGTGGTGGCGGCTTCGGGATGATGTTGGCAGCTTACTCCAAGACGTGTTCGGCCATATGCTTGGCGACGAGGCGGCTCATGCTTATCGCGTTGCGCCGGGCGATGGCACTGGCCGACCGGCCGCGATGGCCTTTCTTCGGCTTGGCACTGCGTTGGACGCTGCCAGTTGCAGTAGAAAGTGGTACCTCGTTCTCGTCCTCGCTGTTGTCCTCGAGGCTGCGACGAAGCGACGAAACGAAGGCAGGTGCTGTGCTGGGAGGATGGCGCTCCAGTGGCAGGGCTGACGTCGTCTCCTCAAACCCCGGCGGTGTGGCGACATGGGGTGTTGCAGTGGGCTTGGCGGTAGTAGAAGGTGCAGGCATGCCTTGCTGGGGCTGCAGTGCACTCAACGCCGAGGACATGGCGTCGATCTTGGTCTCGAGAGCGCGAACGTGGGCTCCAAACTCGGTACGGAAAGCGTCCGTGGTAGCCGCAGCTTTTCAAAGTTCATGCAGCGAGCTTCAACTCGGGCCACCGCTGCATTGCCGTGGGAGAGTGCCGCCGCCAGTCGCGCGTCCAGGATCGTTTGGGCCGTTTCGATGGATGCTACCTGTCGCTTGAGCGCTGTGAGGGGGATAGCGTACATGTTGGTCGCTGACTTCAAGGCGACCTCGACACGGACGTCGACGGCGGCCATGCGCGCAGCGAGGTCCGTGAGCGTTTTCGTATGGGTCTCATCCGCAACGCTGTGCTGTGCTGCCATTCCGTCAACTGCGTCGTGGAGCGCTCGGATCTTGGCAGAGTTCGAGGCCATCTGGATGCGCAAGTCGCTCGCATCTGGCTCGTCGCGACCCCGTCGAGCTGACTCTGCGCCGGTAGCTGTCGGCGTCGCGAGGCTGCTGAGGCCGACGAGCGTTGCAGCGATGATGGCGCACGCCAGCGCGATCTTGAGAAGCGATAGCAGCAAGGAGCCCGCGGTGGCCAGGAGTGCGTCTTCCATCAGTGTGTGCAAGCCGGGGGCGATGAGACTGTGAGCTTGGACTCGGTTTCGTAGTTCAAAAGCCTTTCAGACATGATAGATACGCGTATCATATTTCGGAGGTTTTGACGTTTTGGCGGCAACATCCTGCAGCCGGAGAGCTTGCAGCAAGTGGGCTTCCTCTGGCGCATGCATGTCCTGTCGGCGACGACTCCACACGTCGGCGGCCCCAGTGAAGGTATGCAGACAACAAGTCGAGCATCTTGGCGGCAACATTCGAGGTGATGGTGGCCTTGGCTGAGAAGTGATAGCATTCTTTCATGCCTCACGCGGTGCAGCGGCGACAGTGGCTGCAACAAGAAGCAATCGCCACCGTTGCACGACCTCCAATGAAGATCAATGGAGGACAGGCCGTGCGAGAAGCAATTGGTGGAGCTCTACACCAGCAAGAGGCGTCTATATTGCTGGTTCTTATAGTGCACATGGGCACTACGTAACTCACACCGAGTGGGCACGACGAAGGGCTATTCTATGTACGGCTTGTGCCGCGTCCGTCTTGTTGCCCGACCAGTAGTAGAAGAGGCTGATCACGACAAGGCCGAGCCAGAACCACCATTCCGCCTTGAGAACGACGAGAGCAGTCACCACCGCGACGACTGACGTGAGCTTGACCTTGACCTTGGCCAAGTCGTCGAGCGTCTGGTAAAAGTCGACGGCCACCGTGGGCACATAGGTGAAGAGCACGTAGATACCCGCAAAGACAGCGCCAAAGGTGCTGAGAAAGATGGCACCCCACGTGTTGGCCAGAAGGACCCGCGCGTCTTCGCTGTTGGCGAGGAGGTCGTCACAGGACGCGCTAACGTCATCGAGGACGGACAGCGTCCTGTGCAGGCTGAGCCAAAAGACGGCTTCGCCCACGTCGTAGGCGTCACCGACGGCAGCGACGAGCGCGCGCCAGTGGAATGCACTAGTGTGCGTCGCTGCTTCCAGCGACGCGCTGGCCGCCGCGATCCACGCATCGACCGCTTGCTGCCAGTCCCATGACGCGGGCTCGTCATGCGTCGATGGCAATGTGACTGGCGTGGCCTTGCTCGGGAGACGGCGGGGGCGCGAGCTGCTGCTTTCGTCAAGGGACTCTTTGGACCGTTCGATCGCGCGAGGCTCTTGGAGCAACGACTCGTCAGCGAATGCGTCGCCCTGCGTCGATAGGGTGCCTGCGAGCGGCGGATCGTCCGTATTAGTATGCAGCCGTCGGTGCGCAGTCAAGGGTAGGGCATCGGCATTTGGCGACACAAGAATGGGATCGCAAGCCACTTTTTGAGGCTCGTCACTCGTTGCGTCGCCGTAGTTTCCATTGTCGAGAAGCCGCGCTCTTTTGCCGCCGAGATCTGCCGTAGCGTGTTCTGCACCGTCTTCGACGGGCACATCGTACATGCCTTCAAATTTGCCGTCGGCCAGGGTCACTGCGTCGACAGATAAGAGCGCGCCGTGGGCCGCCGCCGTCTCCTTCGCATAGTGCGCTTGTGCGACGCGCTCTGCGAGCGTAGGACCAACCGCTTCCGAGATCTTCGTGCTTCGAATACTGGTGTCGTCAAAAGGCTCGATGGCTGCGTCGGGGGCGACGGGCACTTCGATGGACTCGGCGGCATGTCGTGTGTGCACATGGGCGGCGCCAGATGGAGCACCGTCTGCGCCCGTGGCAGCATTGCGGTCGACGAGAGCATTCACAGCTTGCGGCTTCTTGTTTGGCAGCGAGATCGATATGCGCTTCACTGTTGCCGCCGAGCCGGTGGGCGGCGTGACGTGCTCGATGTTCTTGGGGCGGGCAGGGTCGTTGGCGCCGCCGTCCAGGACCGCGCTAGACGCAGCATGTACAGCTTGAGGCGGCGTCGCGACCATGGCCATGACCACGCAGGCGCACGCTAGCCTTCGCAGCGCCAGCGCCGGTCGACGCGGTGGTGTCGAGCGCATTGCTTTGTCGACGTTTGAAATTGCCGTTGTGTGAATCCGATTCGTACATATCCTAATTAGGTATCTCGCTTTTTTAATGCCACTACACTTGAGGATTTGCAGTTTGAATAAAATGATTCAACAAGGACTTTCGGACATTGAGATTGCAAGTCACGCCAAGCCACGTAGCAGGATGCTCCAGCGGCTGCGGCAGTACGACGTGTACACGAAGGGCGTCGAAGGCATCCAGATGCGCACGACGAGCGGGGCCATCATCACCCTCGTGAGCCTCGTCGTCGTGCTTCTGCTCTTCCTCTCGGAGCTGGGCATCTACACGACGACCGAGGTCGTCAACCGCATGTATGTCGACATTGACCCGGTGCGCCGTCGCCTCGCCGCCGCCACGCACTCATGGCCTGTGTAGCAAGACACGATCATGCACGTTGAGGTCGACATTACCTTTCTGCATGAACCTGAGACTGGTACGTGTGCAGGCTGCCACGTCTTCGTCACGTCGCCGCCTGTCTAGATGTGGCCATGGACGCGAGCGACACCAAGGGCAACCGCGAGGTCATCGTCAAGAGCGACGTGATCGCATATCCGCTCGAGAACAGCGAAGAAGGCTGTCGCTTCACGGGCTACGTCGACGTGCAAAAGACCGCGGGCGACATCAACTTTGCCCACGAAGGGTCGCTCAACATGTTTACGTTTCTCGAGTTCCTCGACTTCAACTCGTCGCACATTGTGCACTCGCTGCGCTTTGGACCATCGATCCCGGAGATGACCAACCCGCTCCAGGACGTGCACAAAGTTGTCGTGGAAAACTGTACGCCCCCCTGTCTTTTGCATCCCTCGTTGGACCACCTAGGTGGGATTGATTGATAGTCAAGATTTACAAGTACGGCCTGTCCATTGTTCCGACGCAGTACACGCCGCTGTACGGGCCGTCGATCCAGACGTACCAGTACTCTGTCACGGAGCATGCATCGGACGTACGTCGCGCCTCTGCGACTGTGGGCTCATGCTGCGGCTGTGTAGCCGAACGAAAATGGCCGGTTCTCGTTTCCTGGCGTCGTCTTCTCGTACGAGTTTTCGCCCATCAAGGTCGAGTACATTGAGACGAAGCCGTCGTTCCTGCAGTTCCTCACGAGCACGTGCGCGATCGTCGGTAAGCTGCGACTTGGCCCATCCATGCACGCGTCATGTACCTCGATACAGGCGGCGTCTTTGCCGTCGCTAGAATACTCGACGGCCTCGTCCATAGCGTCGCGTCCCGCAAGCTCGATTGAGCATCCAGAGAGAGAGAGGAATACGAAGAAGAAGATTGTCATCGTCGTTGTCTCTTAAATGAGGGGATGCCCTTCGTCGCTCGTACCATACGTCTCATCGTCCGCCGCACTCTGCAACGTCGTGGTAGCGGCTTGGGTCAAGTCGCGGTTCGACTGCAGAAACACAAGGCTCGCCACGTCTCGCGACGTACTCGAGGCAAAGGACAGCGTCGGTTTGCCCGCGGTGGGGAGGCACAGCACGGAGCGGGCGACACGTGATAAGAACGGAAAGCGCCGGCGCTGAAGTTTCCACCACTGGAGGACGTTCGGCTCGGGCGTTGTCTCTTCCAGCAGCGGGCTCTCAAAGTACTTGCGCAGCTCGTCCTCGACGCTGGACGCGTCATTGACGTCGTCATTGTCGTCGTCGCTCGAGTCGCCATACATGGAAAGCAAGGACGGCGGCGTCGACTGCACGGGCTTGGCGTTGGCACGACCGACCGACTCGCACGCCGCAGCCGCCAGAAGGCGCGCTCGGAGGTCTGTTTTCGCCAGCGCAATCGTGGCTGCGTCGAGGCCGAATTTCGCCAGCCGCTTGCGCTGCCCCGGGTCCAAGAGCGCGGCGGCGACGTGGATGGAGCAAATGGTCCACGCTGAAAGCCGGTCGAGGACCTTGCGCCGAAGCCCGTCGCCAGAAGACGCTTCGTCATGTGCGCAGTACGTCGTGAGCGCGTGTTTCCAGTAGCACACGGTGTGGAGCATCGGGGTGCGTGGCGCTTCAAAGGCATCGGCGGCTTTGGCAAAGACCGACGCGATCGCACAAAAGGCGGATACGATGGCCAGCGCTGCGGCTGGAAACGACGCGCTCGGATACCATAGGCTGCGCGAGGCCCACTGCAGCTGCATGAAGCTCGCAGCCGCCGACATCGTCTGCCACGAGACGCGGGATCCAGCTGGAAGCGTCCACTGCCGCGCGTCGTCCGGTCCGTGCAGCACCAGGTCCTGCAGCGCCCGTAGCAGAGAAAAGGTCTCGGTGGAATCGTCGCGCCTAGCTCCATGTCGTTTTTGATCCTACGCGCGCGCAATATCGTACCACGTGTCGGCGTTGAGGAGGTGGGTTAGCACGGCGTCGAGCTCATTGATCGGGCACGCGAGTTGGTTGGCGGTGGCTTCGAGTGGCGGCGTGCGACTGCAGCTCGGTGCACAGACCGTCGTATCGGGGTGGGTCGAGAGGCTCAGGTTGTACGACGCGAGTGTCTTGTGCACAGCAAAAGCGCCGCCGTCCTGCAGTGGTTGGACATCCAGAACGCGGTCGTGGAGCGCAAAGTCAGCATCAATGTAGTGCACGGCGATAACGATCGACGTGGTGTCGGTGACGTGGATCCGCATCGGACGCACCGAGAGGCCAAAGGTGACGCCGTCTTGAACGACCATGGCGAGCCGCGCCGAGAGAACGGCGCGCGTCATCTCCACGAGCGACTGCATCTTGACGCGGACAAGCGCTGCATCAACAGCTAGGACCGGTGTCGTCGTACTGCGCCCGAGCTCGATCGTCGCTTGCAGAAATTGCTGAAAGCTCTCGCGACCAAGAAGGTCGAGGTCGAGACCGCTCTCGCAGCAGCTGTGGAGAAACGCGTGTACAAACGCATCTTGAAGCAGCTCCAACGGTTGACCGCACGTGTGCTCTGACAGCGAGGCCGTCGAGCCACCCAGCGCGTAGCTGAAGAGCGCTTTGCACGCGTAGCAGCCGACGTAATAGCGGCCGAGATGCTCGGAGTCGACGACGAGCTCGCCGTGCCGATAGACAAAGCCGAATCGCTGCCAGATCGGTGCTTTGCGCTCGTTTGGGTGGGGCAAGAGCGCGTACGGAGAGCCTGCTTGGACAAGCCGCGTGCTTATGGCTTGCTTGTCGTCGTCATCGTCAAGCGTATCGATTCGGGCGCGCTTGGTCGATCCGAGCGAGGCGACTTGGGGTCGGCGCTGCGATGCGCGGGCGCGGGCCAAGGCGTCGTCGTCGCACGTGTGCGTCGTCATCGTGGACGTGCCGTTGCGCACCTTGTACTGGTACACGACGAAGCAGTCACGGCAAGCGACGAAGCTCGAGTCGAACGCGCGCAGTGGCGTCGCATTCAGAAACACGTGACCAAACTTCTTCCAGCAGCCCGACTTGATGCCGTTCGGGTTATCCTGCAGCGTGTACCCGCGCGCCTCGTCGCCTGTCACGAGCGCGTTGTGGATGTCCTTCTTGAGCGCGTCGAGCTCCGGGTTCTTCATCTTGCGCTGCGGCGGCTCGATCGGTCGAGGCTTGCGCTCGTGCGGGCAGCGGTGCGCCATGATCGTCGTCGTGCCATTTTTGCTCTTGAACGAGTAGACCGTGTGGCACACGTAGCAAGCGACAAAGGCCGTGTCGTGGAGCTTCACCAGGTCGTCGGGCGCCGATCGATGGTACACGTGGCCAAAGCGCTGCCAGCACTCGGACTTCTTCAGCGCCAAGTTGGCCTTGACCACATACGGGCTAGGCGTTGCGCCCACGAGGCTCGCATGGAGACGCGCCTTGAGACTGTTGATCTCGTCCGACGCCCGCGGGCGGTCTGACAAGCCCTCGTCCATCCGCACCCGTTGGTGCAAAGCGATGACTACATTCGGCATATGCCTAATTTAGCAATAAACACGTCAAAACTGCCTCCTTTCGATTCTCATAGCTCCAGACCTTGAAACAGGCGACACGAAGGCTCGCCACGGGGCGCCCACTTGCCGCGCAGAGCGGTCGTGTCTGCCTCCTCGCACAACCTGTACTCGGCAGTGCTTCTCGGTGGACTTGCCTGTGAATATTTTCCGAAAGGCAATATGGGTAGGAAGGAATGATGATCGGACAATCGCTCTGTCCATACAAACGCCAAGCGAACGTCATTTTCGAAAGCCAGCCCGACGACGAGCATGTTTGGCTTTAGCGTGGATAAGCTCAAGCCGAACCTCAAGATGGCGGTCGGCCGCATTGGCATCATCAAGAACAAGAAGGCGAACGCAGCCAAGGTGCTCCGCAAGGAGGTCGCCAAGCTCCTCGCCGAGGGCAAGGAAGAGAAGGCCCGCATCCGCGTACGTCATGGCCACCCCATAGTAGGCACGCGTCATCCCTCGTCGCCGATAGGTCGAAGGGCTCATCCGCGAAGACTTTGTCGTCGAGGCCTACGAGATTCTCGAGCTGCTGTGCGAACTCGTCGCCGAGCGTGCAGCCCTCATCAAGGCCGAGCGCGCCTGCCCCTACGACATGCGCGAAGCCGTGTACACGTTGATTTGGGCTGCGAACCGCACGGAGATTCCAGAGCTCAACGAGGTATGGACACGATGGCAATCGTCGCCTTCAAACGTGCTGGCTGCAGGTCAAGAGCCAGCTAACCAAGAAATATGGCCAAGACTTTGCCGCCGCCGCCTTGCGCAACGTCGATGGCTGCGTTAACGAACGCGTGATCCACAAGCTTAGCGTGCAGGTACGGCCCGTCTTCTATGCGGCACGAAGGGCCACAAAGCTTATCCTAGCCGCCCAACTCGTTCCTCGTCATCAACTACTTGAAGGAGATCGCCAAGCAGCATAATGTCAACTGGGTGCCCATCGAGATGCCGGCCATGGACCCGCTGGCGCCGATGATTGCGCCCACGGGCGCCACGGTCGGCCAAGCACCCGTCTCTGGCCCTAATTACGCGGCGGTGTATGCGACGGTAAATGCTCGACAGCGCCTCGTAGCCCATACAAATGAGCTACAACGTAGGCACCACCCGCCGGGAAGCTCCCGTCTGCCTTTCCCAGCGTGCCGTCCGCCGTGCCGACGACGATGCCAGCCGCAGCCCCCGCGGGCGCAACGGTGGCCCCGCCCTCGGTGACATTGAATACGGTGCAGCAGGCGCCGGCGGCTGGCGGCGATACCGACGGTGGTAGGCGTCCGACGACAGCGTATCGATCTCTCGACGTCTCTTTTGTAGGCGCCCTTGACTTTGACATCCTCGCAGATCGCTTTGCCAAGCTCCGGAACCGCACGTAATCTCTGAAAGAAGGGTATTTTCTGGGTATGTGTGGTGGCTACAGGCGTAACGAGGGCCGTGGCGCCGGTCCGACCGGAGGCTTTCACTGCATACGGTGAAAACGCATACGGCTCCATGTCCATAGGCCCATCCGAGTGGAGGCATGCTATTCACAATGACTTTTCTCGCCCCACGTTGCCCAAGTTCTTGTGGACCCCTTTATGTGGAGATTAATGTCCTTTATGGTCAGCGATGTCACAAATGAGGATGGTTGCGGTGTCATTTTAAATGTTAGTTAATGGTACAAAAGGCGAATGTTTACTTGGTGTTGCGCGACGGCTGCTTGAGCGTGCGCACATGGGTCGGCTTGGGGTTCTTGTTGATCGTGACGCGCGTCTTGGGTTCGTGCACGTGCTTGGACGGCACGACTTCCTCGATGCTCTTTTTCGACTTGCGCTCTTCGTACTGCTCCTTAGTAGTCTTGTTGTGCGACCGCTTGTGCTCGAGACGCTTGATGGCGTCCCGGACCTGCTCGGCGAGCTCGACCTCATGGATCATTTCGTTGACCTTCTCCATCTCAAAGACTTTCGTCTTGTCAGTCGGCGACAGCAAGATGCAGTTGGAGCTCTCGACTTCGTGCATGATGACAAAGCCTTCGTCGCCGGGCTGCGCGCAGAGCGGGACGTTGTAGTGGAAGCGGTGGTCGTCTTCGTTCCAGCGCATGCGGGGCAGCGTCTCCATGGCCTCGCTGGCCTGGTGGAGGCAGATCTTGGTGTCGACGGTCATCGTCATCGTGGTGGCCGCCATGTTGGGGGTCGTGTTGGTTGTTTCGGAAAAAGGATAATGAGGATGCCAAGGAAGGCGTTGGTCGGCTGCCACGTCTGTGCACCGCCCAACTTCAACTTCGCAACGTAAAGAAAAGCAGCCAATCAACGGCGATTGCGTAAAACAGCAGCATCTCATTGGCCAACGTCGAAAGTGCACATAAAAAGCAACCAATCACAGAACACCAAAGATATTAGAAATACGGGACACTGGCACTGGGCGTGAGGCGTGAAGTGGCGCCTTGGACGCTCAAGCTCGGGAGCGCGCCGAGCGGCGCCCGTGGCCTCTTCTGGGACGGTGGTCGAGATCCGAGGACAGAGCCAACGATGAGCTGCGGCTTGGCCGAGACGGCGTGCCTACGCGCGATCATGGTGGTGCGACACCCGGGATGTGGACTTGGTACCAGACGCGGTGGCCAGCCTTCCGACGCAGCGGCTGCGCTTCATCGACCACCGCCACTTCCAATGTCTCACTCGAGCGAAATGGCAAGGCGCATAGGCCCAACGCGCTTGCCTTCTTGGCGGGTGAGGATGCACTGTTCGTTGGCGCGCTCGTTGTTTCCTGCAGCGACGTGAGAAAGACTGAGTCGGCTGCGTCGCTGGCCACAGTGCGACCGAGAAGCGCTGCCATATCCTTCTGCAGCGCAAGCATTGCATCGAGCGGCTTCGACGGTGTGCTACTGACTACAGTGTCTTCTATGTTTGCTTCATCAGGCTCGTTGTTGTTGTTGCTGCTCAAGGTGGATGGGACTCGTGTGGACAGTCCGGGTAGCTGGCGCATCGGACCCAACGGACGCGTCTGCTGCACAATGTGTTGGTTACCGAGCTGCCCAGCATCGATAAAGGACGGCGCCTCAATCGACGACCACGCGTGGCTGCCGTCGACTTTGCCCATACAGTAGTTCTGCACATCAATGACGTGGGCTGGCGCAAGCACGTAGTTGGCGTCCCATGTTGCGTTGAGCGCAAATCCATCGACAGTCGAAACAAGCCCGGTGGCGTCGCGGTCACCGGTGCGGTCAAGGGCCGCGGCCGCGTCGGCGTCCGAGACGTCAAAGTTGGGCACGCCAGCGTCGCGCGGAAGCCCGCTCTTGTGGTGGGCGCGGGACACGCGATGCAGTGGGCCGCACACCGACTTGTCGAGCTTGGTTTGCGACGTGGTTGTTAGATCCAAAATCTTCCAGACCTTGTGCGACGCCTTCAAGAGCTGGGCAACTTGTAGCGTCGTGTTGCCATAGAACGGCGCGTCGTTCTGGCCTTTGAACGACGCCAAGACAACGTACTTGTTGTCGTTGGAGACGCTCAGGATCGGCACGTACTGCCGGCGCCGGACTTCGACCCACTCGCCAATCTTGATGGGCACGCGGACGGGACTGCCGAGCACATCTGGTGCGGTGGTAGGTGCCAGCGCTGGCGCGCTCACACTGTGTTGCAGCTCCCAAGGACGGTCGTACTTGCGCGGCGCGTCCTTCTTGTTCCAAGGAAGCTCGTCGGCGCTGCCACCTCCCACGTGGGTGCTCGGATCGGCTGAGGACGCACCCATCCACATGGCGTGTCTGAGAGAAGAGTCCGGCGTTGGATACAAATCCTCGAGGCTCATGTGCGCGGCCTCGAGAAGTGGTTTGATCGCCTCGTACTCGGGTGACGTCGCGGACGTGGCGACCGAGAGCGCCGGAAACGACGGCGACCGGGACAGCAAGATTACCACGTAGCAGCACCGGCGCTGGAACGCTGGATGATCCGCTATCGCCGCCGGTTTGGTCTTTACCGGCAAGTACGTCGCGGACACCATCGGCACGGTCGCCCAGAGTTGCTGCTCGTCATCAGGTAAACGCGGTATCTGGGCGGCCTGCAGCTTGTGGAGGTGGAAGGCGAGCGCGACACGGACGTATGGCGGGACGCGAAGCAGCGCACGGAGCCCATGGCTGTCGACCTGGCCGACGAGGTTGATCGTCAGCGCGTCCGAGACCATTTGCAACGGCACGGTCGAAAACTCCAGCGGCACGAGGAGCAGCAGCAGGAGGTGCAACGTTGCCCGCGGCGGAAGCTGAAGCAGTGATTGCAACGGCAGCCGCGGCCACTCGGTGTGCTTGGCGTGCGCGGGTGCCAAGCCGAGCCCGTCGTTGTGCAGCATCGCGATCTCATCGTAGTGGTGC